AGAGATGTAGTAATATGTATAAAGTATAGACCATGTTATCACATGATGATTTAAAAATTAACATGAACTAGAAATTATGTAAAGTCCCTGATAACCATTTTTCATATAGACTATATTCTTAGATACTTGAGAAGTAACCATAAATATGTATAAACCTGAAATTTAAAAAGGCCTAACTTAGGAGATTCTTGTATTATATGAGTTGCAGCTGTTTGTATAAATGCATCTCCCTCCTCACAAGGGAGACATTCTGAGACCCAACATGACTTCAAGTTGTAAACTGTTTCCTCTTAATGAGGCTCTTCTTATTTTCTTCTTTCTTCTTTTTTTTGTTATGAAGCTCTTCTTTATCCAACATACTGTCTCTTTGTTGTAACAGATGCATCAGTAGCATCTGCTTGTTTATTTGTTGATGAATTTTGCTTTTTCCAAGAGTGATGAGATAACTAGAATATACAATGATTTTAGTAATTGGATTACATTGCCTCTAGTTAAAATAAAATTCTTGAAAGTAACACTTAAGTTACTTTTTTAAAGGAAAGATAATCATACTGATGTTTTTCCCAGTGCAGTTTTTCAAAGTTTAGAAAAAATTTAATGAAACTTAGCAAATGTAAATGAAAGCAGAGAAACTCACTTAGTGAAACCCTCATGTACCTATAACAGCATCAATCGCTATTATCATTTTTATTATATTTCTTTAGCTTTCACTCCACCTTTTTTTTCCCTCTCTTTTAAATGTGACTGATCCCTAAAGAAGTTGATGTCATTTGGTATTTGTTTATGAGCAAGAAAAGTTTTCCAACTACTCCTATTATGCAGTTTATTCTTGATTGAAAAGGTAGAGGCCAGGAGATGGACTAGTACAACACAACAATTACCCTTTAAAAGTTATAGAAGAGAGAAAAGATTAAGATGAAAGAAAATAATATAAACTTGAATCAGATTTTAATATTGAAGTTTGATGCCACCGATGGTCTATAAAGTGTAAGAGGTCTATTTTTTCTTAAAAAGAAGTCAAAGTCCAATTATAAGCTTCAGGATATAGGAAAATAAAAACCTGCTTACTTTGCAGTGATGGATATAAAGCCTCAAGGCAAAGTCTGGCATCTTAGAAACTTTCATGTTCTTAATATAGCTGAAAGACATATCTTCCTTTGTCCCTTGACCTCCCTTGTTACTGTTCTGCCAATATTTTGCTTTTTTGTATTCTGTTGCTTAAGTTTCTATAATGGACCTAAAATTCTTGTCTAACTTCTTTGTGTTTGCTATGACTATTGTACAGTTCTATTTTATCCTTATTAATTTATAGACAAATATTTTAATTTTCTCTAAACCTTTACATGTATTTGAAGGAAATTTATAAATCTATACTACAAGCATGTTTAAAAGAAAAAAAAAAACAAGCATGTTTAAAAAAAGACAAAAAAAGAGGCTCTCACATATGGCTCTGCAGTAAAATGCTTTTACAGATAGGGAGTTTTTGCACTTAGGATCAGTGTGACATAGAGCAAATATGATCATTAGTAGTTCCACTGGCTGAACATTGTCTTTGTCATGCTGGCAAGAGCTGGAAGAGTAGGGTTGGATCTCAAGATATCATCCAGATAGAATGAAAATATTGTTTGCAGCAGCTTTTCACTTTATAAAATTATTCCCTGGCTCCAAACTTTTATACATTAGCAAATCTAGTCTTTCATTGATCCCTTACTCTCTACTTATCAGGTAGGGATTTATTTAGTATTGACTCATTTTCTTTCTTCAAACCAGAGAAAAGTCTTAACATTTAACTATCATTGGCTCAACGGCCTTGGGGGACAGATTGAACTTCTCATCCTCAGGTCACGTTGGCCAGTATATTTAATTTCTATTTTATTATATATTTAAAGCCAAAATATACTCATTATCTGATTGCCATTGTTATTAGTAATAATAATAATAATTACAAGTAACATTTTTGTCCTCCTGCTACATGGCAGACACTGTTCTAAGCTCTTTATATGCCATACTTATTTAATCATTACTAACCCTCTTAATGAAATAGGTGCTATTATGAAAACCATTTTACAAATGACGAGACTGAGGGACAGTGAAGTTCATTCACATGAGAAAAGTCTAACCAGTGTGTAGGTAGTAGAGCCCAGAATAAAACCTAGGTAGTTTGGCTCTAGAATCTGTGCTCCTAACCATTAGTCCATATTGCTTTTAAACATTTGCAATGTAATTTTTATCTTTTTAATAATAATTATAATACTACATAGGGTGATACCTGTGTTACTTCTCTTTCTCTCAATTTTAGGTACTTCTATCAAAATTTTAAATAATCCACATCTAATAGGAGAAAAAAAGACCTATTAATATAACTACATGTGAATGACTTTAACAGGCTCTATTGTAAAGGCATTTTTAGCAGAATATAAATCGATCTACTTTTAGAACTTTTCAGCTTTTTGTGCTTATATTAATTTTGTCATCATTTTGTGATATAAAATTATCTTCCTGGAAAAGGCTTAGAATTAGGAAATTTCTACCATATTGACTTTTAACTTTACTTGAATGAATTTGTTTTGTAAATCAACATAGTGTCCACCTAAATTCATCTGATCCCATTAATTTCAGCAAGCATCTACTATATGGAAACTTTTTATTAGCTTGATAAAGAAGATGCACTTTCAGTCTCAAGGAACTTAGTATCTAGGTCTAGTACCTGCCATCTCTTGTTCTTCTCTATAAAAACCTCTCCACCTGCACCCATCCCAGCTAAAATGAATTGTTTCTTCTTTGACAGTCTTCTCAAGTTCAAGCATTTTGTAAAAGACTTATACTATACCTTGATACTTACTGCATTACTATATCTTTGGTAAGATTATTGAAGACTTACTTATTATGTTCCTTAGTCCCCATTCTATGTAGATAATGTGTCTTATAATCTAAACACATAATTCACACAAGACAATCTATAAGTACTATTGCTAAGTTACAAATATAAAAAAGACTGTGAATTTAGAATATATTGATGGGATAATATTATTTGATTTGAGCATTCCTTAAAACAGAGGCTAAGGTCAGGCTGCCAAATAGTGGAAATGATGTGAGGAAAGAACAGAAACAACAATGTATAGAAGGGATTAGAGGAATACAAATATTTTGTTGTGTCTGAAGGTTAAGGTGCTTGTGTGAGTGGTGTGGTAGGCCAATAAAGTTGGTGTAAGATAGTTTATGATAAGGGGCAATCAGCTCTTGCCAAGAAATTTAGACTTTATTCTATTGGTGATAAGATAACATCATCCTATAGGAAGATTTATCAGGTAGTAGAACGGAAGGTGTATTTAAGAAGAAAAAGACATACAGAGAGATCAACTAGGAAACCAAGCTATTGTAATAATATAGGCATAAGTATAACACAGATCATAGAAAAAGAAAGGATTGCTACTGGAAATATTTTAAAGGAAGATCTGAGGGAACATATTAGTAACTAACTGCATGTAGAAAAATTGTGAAATGGAAGAATCAATAATAATGTCAAAATTCTGAGCCCTGATGACCATTAGCTTAGAATTCTTATCCTAATGTTTTACACTAACTCCAAAGTCTTACATTTATGTAATTTTCTACACAGTGTATAGATACATTTTTTTTATTTCTCCAACCATCCTATAAATCAAATAGAACAGATAATTTTTATTCCTCATTTCTTATAGGTAAGGAGACTAAACAGTTAAGATTTGCTCAAGTTCATTTTATTTTTAAGTGGTAGTGCTGGAATTCACACTCAGCTCTTTTACTCCCAGTTGGTTTTGCTATCCCAAGTTTGAGGTGCTGGCAGAATGTTGAAATGTCTAGTAGGTTTTAATGCTTCACATAAAAATAGTAGTTGAAGTAGTGGAAGTAGATAAGCCTTCAAGGAAAAAAATTGTAAATAAAGAAAAGGAAGAGCATCATGGATTGCAGTTTTGAGAATACAAACATCTAGGGGATTTGCTAAATAAGAACCAAGGGAAAAAAAAACTGGAAAAGAACAATCAAAAAAGCAGGATGAAAACCAGGAGTGTAAAATGTTGCTAGAAACTAAGAGGGGGTGGGGATCAGATTGAAGAAACTGGACAAAGAAAAGCACTATGTGTTATGTTGGGAGAGAAGATGATATCAGGAATAAGACATTTAATTTGGCAAATGGGAGATTAATACAAATTTTGAGGATAATCTTTTGGGATAAGGCTGAAGGCCTGTATTCAAGAAAGTATATTAGGTAAAAAATAATAGACAATGACTTTTTCTCCTTTTTTGGCAGTGCTGGAAGTTGAACACAGGACCATTCCACCATCCCTTTTAACACTGGTTGTTTTTGAGATAGAGTCTCACTTTATGCCCAGGTCCAGCATGTACGGGATCCAAATATTTGTGCTACCCCACATAGCTGGGATGACATGCATCGCCACCACACCCAGGCATTGGTTGAGATGAGGTCTTGTGACCATTTTTGCACAGGCTGGCCTCCACCAAACCATTATCCTCCCGATCTTCACATCCCAAGTAGCTGGGATTAGAGGCTTGAGTTACCTTGCCTGCTGAATTTGGTCTACTTTTAAGAAGAAGTTTATAATTTGTGGGGAATCAAAGATAACAGCCTTAGAATTGCAAAAAATATCAAAGCTTATTGTAACTTTTCTTCCCTTCTTTCGTCTGTTAACCTCTGAGGGATAATAAGTGAGAGTACCTTTCCTCCACACTGCCCTGAGTAGAACACACACTGTTCTAGGTACTTGATCTGATTCTCACACCTCATATAAACCTGAGCTGTCAGAGTCCGAGGCATCAAGAATCAAATACAGTATCACTTACAGTTCAGATAGCCTCAAAACATTTTAAATGGAAATTTCATTTTAAAAAGGTTTGGTATATTCTTGGTCTCATTACTTTCTAAAAATCTGAATTTTTAAAATATTTCCTATGTGACTGTACGATAACTTTGTGTTTATATTTCTTTTTTGTTGTTAAAGGATGGAATGGCCTTATCTATGTTCATGCAAAACACCTTGACAAGATTTACGAGGTAGTATATCTTTCTTTTAAAAATAGTTTCTAAAAGAAAATGAATAAATTAAAGTACAGTTTCTAAAGACCAAAATTTTAGCTCTTTATTATTCCATTCTTTGTATCAGTTAAATAATAGATGATTTTCAAATTGTATTTATTCCTACCATACTGAGTTTGAATTCTGGGCATTTTGCTTGCTAGATAGTCACTCTACCACTGAGCCACACCTATAGCCTTTTGTGCTCTGGTTCTTTTTTTCTTTTTTTAACCGGGACTGGCCTGGAATTGGATCCCCTGATCACTATGCCATTGTCCCAGCCATTTTTCAAGATGGCAGTCTCATGAACTTTTTGCCTGGGCTGACTTTGACTATAGTCCTCCCTATCTCAGTCTCTCAAGTAGCTAGGATCACAAGCATGAATCGTCACATGAACAATTTCTCTGTGGCATGTAGAACAGTCATTTAATTAAATGTTAGTGAAATATATACAAATGTTTTATAAATAAGAGAAGTGAGGGGAGAAAAGAATTTTACTCCTTTCCCTAAAAAGCTAATGTAGCATTGTCTTTAGGAATAGGTATGGGGAAAGAGTCAAAGACTGTTACTAGAACAGATTAAAGGCATTGATCAGGAGATGATAGATACTCATCGTATCCAAGAGCCTGGAAAGAACAGTAGAATTACAACATTAGTATTTTAAAATATTTTTCATTGTCTTAGCATATGTTCACCTCTCTCACCTATTATACTTGATTTTTTTTTTTCTGTCTGAAAAAGGCTTTTTAAATAATTATTTCTACAGGAGCAGTGTATGTTTAAGAAATACCCAGTTACCCTAAATCTGCAGCTTTACATTCTGGTTATAATCTATAAAAAAAAAAAATCCATTCTTTGAAACCATTTTAGACTTATCTTGTTGTATTCATACACTTTTGCAAAATGGGTCTTTGCCCACAGGAAAAGTAAGAGATTTGTTTTTAGTACAAAGTAATGCCTATACATAGGATTAGTCTATGGATCATTTCAGACAGAATTGAGAAGTTTTTTTTATTGAAATCTTCAATACACAGTTTGGAGCTCTGACTTCTGGACCACATTTTCTCCCTTTTTCATACAACCTTAATTTCACCACCTTTAAGCTGATACTAATAAAAATGGACTATAGAGTATCACATTGAATTATTTTCGATTTACCTGCTGAGAAGTTCCCGGACCTGTAAGTTATACCAAGGTAGCAGTATTTGAAAAAAGTTGCAATATGCTTTATTTTAAAAACACATCATAATTCAGGGAGGTATTTTGATAAGTTTATATTGCATTTAATATGAATTATTATATTTTTAGTATTGTACTATTTTTTATTTTCTTCATTCACAAGTTGAAGGTTCCACTACGCTTTATGTTTGTTATACACAGTACAATAATTTTGTTTCTACTGCATTTTGATATTTAAGAAATTACATTTGTAAATTAATATTGAAATTAGAAATATTCACATCCATTTTTCCTTCAATATCCAGACTACCTTTAATAAGCGTTGCACTGGTGCAAGGACGGGCATTGGGTGGAGGAGCAGAATTTACTACAGCATGTGATTTCAGGTAGGATAAAAATTGCATTACTTCTGGTATAAACATAAGTAGCATATGCTCAGATTCATTTTTTGCCTTAATTTCAATCTTTTATATGCTTAAACAGATAATCAATTAGTGAATACTTTCTTTTTGTCAGTCATTAGAGAATGTGAGTTTAGTATAATTACTATTATCTTGTTACTATACATTTAAAAATAAGCAAACACAATGAATTTGAGTAAATCAAATCTATATTAGCAAAGCTCTTGAGGAAGAAACCTAAGGAAATACATGAAACTGTAAAATCCAAGAGAGTTATACAAAAATCTAAACAAGTGAAAAAAGTTTTAAAAGAGAATGGCGAGAGACTCTGTACCTGTCCTCTTACCAGTAGAAAGAGGTTTTCTGAAATCTATCTCATGTCTTCACCCTACGGTTTATAGCAACTTCGTAGGGCTTTTGGGTAGACTAGGGAATAAAGTTGAAGAAAATCCTGTGGGATCAGTAGCTCTTCAATTTCTAGAATTTGACATCTATACTATACTATGTAGCTGTACTATGTAGAACTTGAGGGCTATACTACTTATATAGCTGTAGCTCTACCATATAGGAATGACATTTTGTAAAACCTAATGTTTTACATGTGTTTGAAGCTGCTTTCTCTGTACTGCTCCCAAAACCTACAAGCACAGCCAGTATACTATATTTTAAATGTTATAATTGAAGGTAAACTGGCAAATCAGTAAAAAATCTGAGCACTGGAGTAAGGTAGTCTTAGGTTCAGTCTTAGTTTGCCACTTTTATCTATTTAACTTTGAGGATGTAACTATTTCACCGTTCTAAGTCTAAGGTTTTTGTCTATAAAATGAAAATTCCAGAGTGGAGGTGTGGCTCACCTGCTTTGTAAATAAGAAGCTCTGAGTTCATACCCCAGTCTTGCAAAAAAAAGGAAAGAAAATATCTCCTTTAAACCTACAGATCAGTTTAAATCAGACCACAAATGTATAGATTTTAGTATAATGATTCACCTGAAGTTCAATCAATGAGCACTAAGTATTGCTTATAATCTTAAAGTTACTGTATACTACAACTCTATTACAGAAATGTCTATATAATAATGTTCTGGTGTACTTTTTAACTCATTCTCTTTTCATTTGGATATTTCCACCTTAAACCTAACCTCAGCCTCACTCCTTTTTCTTACTTATTCTACACTTGTTCTTGGCTAAGAAAAATATTGGCACATATACTAAGGAGCGTTTCAATCACCTATTGACTTGCTTTTAGATGTTAAAGACAAAGCCATTCTTGTCTGGTACATGTTTAAATATTTCAACACATTATGATATACAGCATTTCAATAATTTTTAAAATTAACTTTTTTGAAATATAAATAACATATAGTTAAATGAAGCCATTTTAAGTCTTAGTGTAAATGAATGTTAATGCATGTAGCTATTGTCACAGTTAAGATGTAGAATACTGTTGTTACCTCCTGTTTACATACATCCTTTCACAATCATTTCCCACTTCTAGTCCAATGCAAATGCTAATCACTTTCTCACTGTAAAGTAGATTTTCTTGTTAATTAGACTATATTAATTATACAAAATAATGGGTTTCATTATGACATTTTCATGTATGTAATATACTCTGATCCCATTTACTCCATTACCTTCTCTTAACTTCTCTCTGCAGTCCCTCTGCCCCAGTCCCTTTCCTCTTCCCAAATAGACCCTTTCTACTTTCTTGTTTTTGTTTTTTCAATCTAGATTCCATATATGAGAGAAAACATGCAATATTTGGAGGGTTTTTTTTTTCTTTGTTTTGACAGTTTTGCTTACTAAGATGATCTCCAGTTCCATACATTTTTCCCACAACAACATGGTGTCATTCTTCTCTATGGCTAAATAATACTCCATTGTGTATATATACCACATTTTCTTTATTCATTCCTGTTTCTGGGTACCTAGCCTGATTACATAATTTGGCAGTTGTGAATATTGCTGCTATAAACATGGATATCTCCTTTGTTTGCTGACTTAGTAGATTCATTTGGGTATATGCCCAGGACTGGTATAGCAGTATCTTATGGGAGTTTCCATAATGGCTGGACTAATTTACATTCCCATCAATAGTGTGTAAGGATCCCTCCCCCATCCCCAAATCCTTGGCAGCATTTGTTCTTTTTTGTTTTCTTCATGATAGCCATTCTGTCTAGAGTAAGGTAGAATTTCAGCATAGTTTTGAATTGCATTTTCTTGATGGCTGGAGATACTGAACATTTTTCATGTGTTTATGCTGCTCAGAGACTGAGCAGTCCACTGGGCACAAGCTGGGAGCTCTCAATCCCAACAGTAGTCCACAAACAACCTGACTGTCTCAGCACAGAGAGCAGGGTGACTGACTACCACCTTGCTCTCTACACCCTAGCTCTTCACTGCTTAAACTGCTTCAGGTCCAAATCCCACCCTCCCCTTCTCCACAACCGAGACACTGGCAAGATGTCCCCAGGTTCCCTGACTTGTGATTGTTCCTTGTTTTTAGGTCAGTCTCAAACAATAGACCTCCTCTCAGGGTGGGTACCTAGCAATAGCACTGTGAGATATGGGAAGCAATGCAATGGATTTCTTCTCTGTGGGGCTGCTATGCAGGGCATGTCATACCATATCTCTGCACTGAGTATAATCTTATGAGAACTGGGTTTCTCTTGCAGATAGGATCGCCAGTCTGCTGTCTGCAGGGCTCTCTGCCTCTGACCAGGCTTACCTTGTGGTTGAAGCTTCCAGTTCTCCTCTGGGGAGCTGGGGGTTGGAGCTGCAGACTGTTTCCTTGTTTTCTCTGTGTTGCCTTTCTGTTTCTCTGTGCTTTTTAGCTCTCTTGTCACATATTTCTTTATTCCTGATGCTCTTCTTCTCTCTCTGTCCTTGGAATATAATTGCTCTTTGTTCTCCTGACCCTTTTCATCATGGAGTCACACAAAGGAAGCTTCTAATCCTTCATTTTGAAGTCTCCAGTAAACCTAAGGTAGATTTTTTTAGTGTTTTATGTAAATAGATTCATAATAATATATGTACTTTTTGTTGTCTGGTTTCTTTCATTCAGTTTAATTATTTTGAGATTCATACGTGTTGTATCAAGTATCAATACTTCATTTCTTCTTAATGTTGGGAAGTATTTACTGTATTTATCTGTGTTACTGTGTGCGTGTATGCTTTATTTTGCTGCTAAGCAATGTACCTTTCTATGCTTATACAGCACGTGATTATCACAGACTGATGAATACATGAGCTATTTCCAGTTTGGGGCTATTATGAATGAAGCTATTGTGCATATCAACATACAATTAATTGTTTATGTGGGAATATGTTTTTGTTTCTTTTGGATGAATAAGTGAAAAATAGTTGGATTATGTTTATTGTATGCGTAACTTAAGAAGTTAACAAATTGTTTTCTTAAACTTTTCCTAGTTGGGTTGTACAAGTTCCCATTTCTGTCAGCAATGGAAGAATGTTTTAGCTGTATTACATATATTTCAACACCTGGTACTCTCAGGTGTTTATATTTAGCCATTTGGTGGATAAGAGCTCTGTAGGACCTCATGATTTAATTTGAATTTCCCTAATGACATGATGCTCAGTATCTTGCCAGTACTTACTGAACTATTGATAGATCTTCATTATATTGTTTCAGATCTTTTGAACATTTTTAAAATTTGATTTTTCTTATTATTGAGTTATAACAGGTGTTTATACATTCTGGATAAAATTTTTACATAAAAATTGTATCTTTTTCTCAAATATAAATGTTGGGAATATTTTCTCTTAGCCTGTGACTTGCTTTTTAAAAACTTTATTATTAGTGTCTTCTTTGTTTTGTTTTTTGAGACAAAGTCTCACTATATAGCCAAAGCTGTCCTCATACTGGAGATCTTACTGCCTCAGCCTCCCAAGGAGTGCTGGGATTATAGACATATACCACCATTCCCAGCTAATTAGTGTCTTTTGAAGAGCAGAGGTTTTTGTTTTGTTTTGTTTTGTTTTTTAACTTTTAAAATACTTTTAACCTCTCATTTTGAAATAATTACAGACTTAGGAAAAAATTGTAAATATCATGTATATAATTCCCATACGCATTTCATTCAGTTTCCTCAAATGTTAATACTGTGTCTTAGATAGCCACAGTACAATTAAAAAACCAGGAAATTAAGAGAGACCCAGTACTTGTGCTTTTTTTCCTTTTGGTTTTGTTTTTTCTTTCTTTTTTAAAATAATACTTTTAATTTACAGACACCATTCACATTGTTTTCAGTTATCATAATAGTGTCTTTGTCTTTTTGCTGGGCTAGGGTCCAATCAAGATTGTATTGTGTGATAGATACAGCCACCCCAACTTTCTTATGATTAACATTTTTCTATCTTTTCACTTCAGTCTGCCTATATGAGTTAAATTGTTCAAATAGATTCTAATAGTAGACAACATATATTAGGGTCTTGCTTTTTTATCCAGGTGGTAATCGCTACCTTTTAATTGGAGAATTTGCTGCATATTTATAGTCAATGTTGTTATCAATATGATTGGGTTTCAGTCTACCATCTTAATATTTTTCTCCTTGTCCCATATGTTTATTTCTCTTTACTCTTTTCCACCTCATTCTAGATTATTTTTATGATCCCATTTTTCTCTGTTTTTGATTATATACCTATGTATTGGGTTTTTTGATAGTTGGCATATGCATCTTAAAGTTTTCAGTCCAACTTTAAATATTACATGTGAACATTACAATATTCTTCTGTTTACCTTCTATATTTTGTGTATTGTTGGTATACATTTTGTTTTCTACATGGTATAACTCCACAATTTTTATATTTTTGCTTTACATAGTCATTATCATTTAAAGAAATATATATAATGAGAATAAAATGCCATTCTATTTGTTTATAGTTTATCAGAAAGAAAATTTGGGTCTAAGCATATCTGCATTTTTAACTTAATGAATATAGACAATGATTTCTCTAACCAGAAAC